AAGCCCAGCTTACTCAGAGGCTGAGGCGAGAGGATTGTTTACAGGCATGCACCACCATGCCCGGCTAATTTTTTCTATATGTATTAGTTGGCCATTTAATTTCTATTTATAGTAGAGACGGGGTCTCACTCTTGTTCAGGCTGGTTTTGAACTCCTGACCTCGGACAATCCACCCGCCTCGGCCTCCCAGAGTGTGCTAGGATTACAGGCGTGAGCCACCGCGCCCGGCCCCATTATGTGTTAACATATTTTATGAAGTATATTTTCCAAAACAAAAAAAATAGTAGACTGGCATTGTATTATAATTTTGCAAATCTCTCTACTGTCTTGCCTAAGTAAGAGACAGCTGGAGTCTCATATTTGCTTCCCCATTCTCTGTTGTGCTATGTTGTTTTGGTACATGAAGAAAATCCAGCCTTACACGGATATATGGTTGGAAAGGGAGGAGTATTTTTTTTTTTTTTTGAGACAGAGTCTTGCTTTGTTGCCTAGGCTAGAGTGAGTGCCGGGCGTCAGCCTAGCTCACCAGCAACTCAATCTCCTGGGCTCCAAGCATCCTTCTGTCTCAGCCTCCCAAGTAGCTGGGACTACAGGCATGAGCCACCATGCCCGGCTAATTTTTTCTATATATATTAGTTGGCCAATTAGTTTCTTTCTATTTATAGGTAGCAGACGGGGTCTCGCTCTTGCTCAGGCTGGTTTCGAACTCCGACCATCAAGCGAATTAACAACCAGCACTCAAACAAAAAAAGACACACAAAACACAAGAACAAACACACCAACACGCACCCAGGCGAGGGAAAGGGAGATATTTTACTCATTCTATTGACAAATTAGAATCTCATTTAACCAACCCACACAAATATAGAAAAAAATAAACATTAAGGTGATGATGGGGAATCTGAAACCATTTGGAAAATATTGGTACAGAGTTATTCAGATCTTCCAATGTTAATGTATTTTATTATTCAGTGTAAAAAAATCACAGTTATTAAAATCATCACTCATCTCATCAGGAAAGTCTCAGGAAGCTGTCAGGTTCACTGTGGTAGATGTCATGTTTTCCAAAATTACAATTTTATTTTATTTATTTATTTATTTATTTGGAGACAGTCTCACTTTGTTGCCCAGGCTAGAGTGAGTGCCGTGAGGTCCTAGCTCACAGCAACCTCAATCTCCTGGGCTCAAGCAATCCTACTGCCTCAGCCTCCCGAGTAGCTGGGACTACAGGCATGTGCCACCATGCCCAGCTAATTTTTTCTCTATATATATTAGTTGGCCAATTAATTTCTTTCTATTTTTAGTAGAGACAGGGTCTCCATCAGGCTGGTTTTGAACTCCCGACTTTGAGCAATCCACCTGCCTCGGCCTCCCAGAGTGCTAGGATTACAGGCGTGAGCCACCGAGCCCAAAATTACAATTTTAACTTGAAAGCTCAACTTTTATCTTTGGCAGTAATACTTTGATTTTCCTTGAAGTGGCAGGCTCATTTAAAATCATTTACTTCAAATGCACAAGTCTGAATAACCATAGTTTTTCTGTCAGTCATTCTTCCAAGTAAAAATAGTGTTCTATGAAAAAAAGCAGCTAGTTTTTTAACTCATACATCTCAAACAATTTTACAACCATTATACTTCAATAAGCAGCAGAAGTGCCTTATGCACACCTCTCATCATATAGAACATGAGAGATAGGTACTCTAGGAAAGGGATACCATAAAATTATTTTTGTTACTTCATCAAGGATAGTCTTAAGTGCAAAAGGCTTTTGTAATTCTTCTATTGCATGTGTGGTAGTAAAGAATACAGTGACTAGTACAAGTTGATGCCACTGCTTTGATTCACCCTAAGGTGCAGGCAGTTTCACCCACTATTACTTTTGCATCATCAGTGAAAATGTCAACACAGTGAAAAAGAGCAAATACTGTATTATTATTATTATTATTATTATTTTGAGACAGAGTCTCGCTTTGTTGCCCAGGCTAGAGTGAGTGCTGTGGCATCAGCCTAGCTCACAGCAACCTCAAACTCCTGGGCTCAAGCAATCTTGCTGCTTTAGCCTCCCGAGTAGCTGGGACTACAGGCATGCACCACCATGCCCGGCTAATTTTTTCTATGAATATTAGTTGGCCAATTAATTTCTTTCTATTTATAGTAGAGATGGGGTCTCATTCTTGCTCAGGCTGGTTTTGAACTCCTGACCTCAAGCAATCCGCCCGCCTTGGCCTCCCAGAGTGCTAGGATTACAGGCGTGAGCCACCTCACCTGGCCAATAATGTATTATTATGAAAATAGATTTGACCATGCAGACCCCATGAAACCATCTCAGGTACTCTCTGAGTCTGTGGACTACACTTGGAGAACCACCTCCACAGAGTATACCAGCAGAACGTACCCATTAATCAACAAATATTAACTCCTTTCCATGGGCCAGCACTGTTTTAGGTACTAAGAAAAGCAGTGAATCAACCAGGAAAATACCCTGACCTCCTGGAGCTTATATAATAAAGAATGTAAAGGTTTAGCATCATTCCTGCCCTCCCACACCCCACACATTACTCAATAATTCTTTTCAAATAAATTCATTAAATAATTTAAAAGTAATATAGTCTTACAGATACAGGCTGCTGTCAAAAAAAAAAAAAAAGTAATATAGTCTTTGCAAACAGGTGGTGCCCTATCTCTGGCTTAGTTTTCAACGTAATTTCTCATTGATAATGGGGCCAATCCTTATCATATTTGAAGTGCTAGCAAATGACAAGTACCTCTGCAGCACTGATCCCTTCATGTGAGAAAACCAGTCAGGGGTGCATGATTTGAGATGTGTATATTTTAATTAGAGTCCAGTTACTACCAGGAAGTCACCATGAGAATCAGATTGATGGGAAGAGGTCAGGGAGAAGAGCTAGCTCTTAAGTATATTTGCATTTTAAAAGACAGTGCTGGTTAACTCCAAAGGAATAAATCTTTAACAATAGAGTTTAAAGTGGTAGTCAAAATGAAAGAATTTCAGACAATGTGGAGGAAAATATTTGTAAAGTTCTGTACTTCCCCTACCTTTTAAATTACATCTCAGAAACTATCTACTTACCTAAATCAGCTATTGTTTTCTTTTTTCGTTTTTTTAGACAGAGTTTCCGCTTTGTTGCCCAGGCTAGAGTGAGTGCGATGGTGTCAGCCAAGCTCACAGCAACCTCAAACTCCTGGGCTCAAGCGATCCTACTGCCTCAGCCTCCAGAGTAGCTGGGACTACAGGCATGCGCCACCATGCCCGGCTGATTTTTTCTATATATATATATATATATATTTTAGTAGGCCAATTAATTTCTTTCTATTTATAGTAGAAACGGGGTCTCACTCTTGCTGGTTTCGAACCACCTTGGCACCCCAGAGTGCTAGGATTACAGGCGTGAGCCACTGCGCTCGGCCCAGCTATTGTTTTCTGAGTGCCAGCTATATGGCACTTTATTCACCATTACTGTTGATTCCACAGAAATGCTAAAATATTTTCACGTTTTTTAGATTTTCGTGAGACTGAGGCTCAGAGAAGTTAAGCAGCTTGTCTAATGTTACACAGCAGAATCAAATCCAGTTCAACCTGATTCCCAAGCCCCTGTCCTTTTTGCAACATCACACTTCCTCCCTTCCCTACATTACTTGTGATTTTAGAGACGGGATGTGACAGATGCATGTCCTGTGTGCACAAGCAATGCCACTTCAAATATTGTCTTGAGCAAGATTATTATGACTGAGTTACCTTTATAAAGAAAAGAAACTCCGAGGGTCTGAATTACTTAAAATATTACTATTCTTATGGGAAGAGAAAAAGAACTAAACCTATTTGATCCCAACAATTTTCAAAATAGATATTGTTAACGCAGAATCTTTAGGCTTGTGAGTTTGACATCCATCCCTACGAGAATTCCAAATTAGAATAAACCACTGGTGCTGGACTACCTAAAAAGAGAAGATAACTTTTGGCTCCCCTTATTCAAGAATGGTATAGAGCACCAGGGCAGTGGTGGCTCTCTCTACTTTGAAATACACACCTAAGAGCCATAATTTACCAACAAACTATTAATAGATGTGCTAGGTCCAAAACAGTTATCCTATGATATACAGTTTAAAAAATGGCGACAGTTAGCCTAGAAAAGCAAGACCTTAGAGAATATGAAGACTGAATTTCCTTCCTTCCTTCCTTCCTTCCTTCCTTCCTTCCTTCCTTCCTTCCTTCCTTCCTTCCTTCCTCCCTCCCTCCCTCCCTCCTTCTTTCCTTCCTTCCTTCTTCCTTTCTTTCTTTTTTGACAGAGTCTCACTCTGTTGTCCAGGCTACAGTGCCATGGGGTCAGCCTAGCTCACAGCAACCTCAAACTCCTGGGCTCAAGAGATCCTTCTGCCTCAGCCTCCCGAGTAGGTGGGACTACAGGCATGTGCCACCATGCCCAGCTAATTTTTTCTATATATTTTTAGTTGGCCAATTAATTTCTTTCTATTTTTAGTAGAGATGGGGTCTCACTCTTGCTCAGACTGGTTTCAAACTCCTGATCTTGAGCGATCCACCCACCTTGGCCTCACCAGAGTGCTAGGATTACAGGCGTGAACCACAGTGCCCAAGGCTGAATTTCAATACAAGAAAAATCATATGAAAGAGGGATTAAGTTTACTCTTTGTAGCTACAGAAGCCGGAATTAAGGAAAAGAGGTAACATTTATTTGAGAATTCAGCTCAATACGGGGAATTAGCGTTGGCAACATTTTATCCAGACAAGAGTATGGTTTGGAAGTTAGAAGTGAGATCAAATCTTGATTCCACCGATTCTCAGTGAATGCCATTGGATAGGTTGTACATCTGAGCTTTCTCTGCAAATTGGAAATTGTAATTCCTACCTCCCAGGGTTGTTGTGAGGATTAAATAAGATCAATCAATAATTTAACAGAATTCCTAGCACTGGGATAAACACTCATTATTAGTAGCCAATATTATTACAACCAATTTTGTCGTCATTAATGCTATTCCAAACAGGACACTTCAGCAGCGAGTAGATGAATTTTTGCTTCTGCGTAGAGACCCAACCCAACTGTCTCAGAAACAATTACTCTCTTCTCTGTGCTCTCTTGAAGCTTTTTTTCTTTTTTTTCTTTTTTTTGAGACAGAGTCTCACTCTGTTGCCCGGGCTAGAGTGCTGTGGCATGAACCCAGCTCACAGCAACCACAAACTCCTGTGCTCAAGCAATCCTGCCTCAGCCACTCAAGTAGGTGGGATTACAGGCATGCGCCACCATGCCTGGCTAATTTTTTCTATATATATGAGTTGGCCAATTAATTTCTTTCTATTTATAGTAGCGACAGGGTCTCGCTCTTGCTCAGGCTGGTTTCCAACTCCTGACCTCGAGGGGATGATCCGCCCACCTCGGCCTCCCAGAGTGCTAGGACTACAGGCTTGAGCCACTGCGTCCACTGACTCCTGCATTCTGGAGCAGTGTCCAATAGACTAGTTGCCTTTCCTCTTTCCTCCTGATTAGGATACTTTAACGTTCAAATCAAGAAAAAAAAGTCAACTTCTCCTAGTAGAAGTTATATTCAGTTCCTAATTAGATAGGAAAAAGGAGAGTAAGGGAGAGAGTTACAAACAAAAACCAAATCTGAGGTAAAGAGGAGGGATGGAGGAAAGCCTATTCAGCTCAATTTTCTGTCAGGTAGAAGGACATCTCATTCATTCACCTAATCATTTATTGAACAAATCATTTATTAAACAAATCATTTAAAAACAAATCATTTATTGAACAAATACTACTGTATGCCAGGGACTGTATTGGGCACGGGGGATAGAGTAGTGAACAACACAAGGTAGGGTGTCCACCCTTATGGGTGTTTAGAGTCCAGAAGGGAAGGCAGACATTGGGTAATGACAATAAAATGGGTGAATGTCATGATGGGAGACTGAATTTCCATATGAACAAGTTTGGGGACAGCCATTTAATTGAAATTAGAAAAACCAGAATACTTGTCTCGAATAACTAGAATGGTTTTTGCCTAATTCCGTTTCTGTGGGGTAGCTGGGTGAGGGGTGCCCATAGAGATTAAAGGGTTGGCACTAAAGCCACCCACTGGTGTCGCCAATGAAAAAGAGGATTCAGGAAGCCATGAGAATACCTACCAGCGAGATGAGACCTAGTCTGCGGAGTCTGAAAAGGCCTCGAAGGGGAAGTAATCTCAATCCTGAAGAGTAGGAATTTTACAGAGATTTAAGACGGCGGAGATTTGATAAAGCTGATGAGGAACCTGTAAAGATTCAAAAATTTCGGGGATGTGAATAACACAACTGTTCATAAGTGGTTGATTTTTGGACCAAGAATCTAGGGCTCCCTTGTAAAATCACGTGTTCTAATTTTCGAGGTTGCAACGTTCTTAACTACACTGCCTCCACCATTGCAGTTTAAAAACTAAAATTTCCTATGACGCACGCAAGCTGTGCGTGCGCGGCGTGGACTCGCGCAGCACTTCGGGCTTTGTAGTCTTGGACGGACTCCGAGTCCCATGGTGCCGTGCGGCGGGTCGTCGCGCCTGCGCGGTGCGGGCGGCGGGCTGCGCAGAGTGCGAGGCTCTTTTGTTCGGCAGAGGGGAGGGCCGTTGGTCGGGGCCTGCGGTACGCCGCTTCATTGAGGGGCTCCACTGCAGCCACCAGCTTGTTGCTTTTCCTGGGTGCCACTTCCCCGGCTGGCCCGACGCGACGCGCCAGTAGCGCGACACCGATTCCTCTCGGGTTTTTGGGCGCTGCTCTGAGGTGAAGAGCCCGCTAGAGGCGAGAGAGCGGGGGGAGGGGGGCGCGGCGGCCGCGGCGGAAGCCCAGGGAGAGGGGCCGCTCTCTCGCGGAGGCGGTTAGGAGCGGGGAGTGTGCCCGGGTCCAGCACCTTGCCCCTCCACTTTCCCCGAGGAACACCCCGCCCCGCCTGGCGCTGAGGGGTCTAGCTGCAGTAGCGTGAAGGATGGAGAGGGCGGGGCGGCGAATCTTGAGCTAGAGATTGAAGTGATTCGTGGTGGGCCGAGCACTTGGGGAGTCTCGCTCTTCGGGGCCTGTGTAGACCAAAACAATGCTGCTTGGTTGGATGGGCGGCTGTAGAATAGGGGTAGAGAAGAAACACTTTAGGAATTGGGAAGGGGACAGGCTTAATACTTGGGTACGCATGAGGAAGGGCTGACGACTTCGAGACCAGAGTAATCAATCTGGGGATTTCGGGTCTAGCCTTGGCTACCAAAGGGTTATCGCTAGCAGAGCTACGAAGAAGTAACTTAGAGTAAATTGGTTGAGGAAGTTGGGCATCAGAAGGTGTGCTGATGAGGAAGGTATTAAGTAAATTGGGGAGAGGGAGAAGAGGGGGAGGGGCAGATATTTGGCCTGGCTCTAGAGGAGGAGGAGCTGTTAGAATAAGTAGGGCGGAGATCCCGAGTGGATGGGAGTATTTCTGTAAGGTGTGGAAGAGAAAAGGGGAAAACGGGCCACCCCTGCTACCTACCTGATGGGTCCTTTACTGTGGGGAGGCTGTAAAAAGAATGTGTGAAGAAAGGATTGAACACGTTTTCATTTTTCCAGGTTTTCTATTACCACCTTCGCTCGATGATTCCTCTGGAGAGTTTAAAAAAAGAAAGAAATCCAAGTGCAGCTCTTGCTTTGATTCAAAATTAGTTCCATAAGTTCTTATCTGGGATTGTTATTGGTCTCACAGAGGGTGGTGAAATTGCAAAAATGAATAGATGAGTTAATGGCTAAGGAATGGAGTGAGGTAGTAAGAGATTATGAGATGATGTGGGAAATCGGGAGACCAGAAAAAGTAAGTATGTGAACTTGTGAAATAATATTTTTTCCTTTGGGCTTATATTTTTTAGCCAGCTTTTCCTTGTTGGAAGATTTGAATACAAAGTGAGCAATATTTTATCCCTTTTTCAAAGTTTCATATGAGAGTTTTTCATGGATTGGTATTGTATTTAGACGTGTATTGGTTTAACTCAATTGAGGTGGAATTCACAAACAAATCAGTTATACTAGAATCTTTGGCCAGGGGTAAGATACTTTCCTCAGTTGTTAATCATGTCAGCAGTCTGGAATAGTTCTGAAAGATCCAAGTTTTTGGAATAGATTCAGGAATACAAATGGGAAATTAATGCCTGTGTACCTCCCTAGGTGCCTTGTAGACTTTTATAGGGCAAATGGTATAATTGAAAAGCCATCTGTATTGCGTCTGGTTGCACCTTAATGAAGTTTCAAGGTAGTAGAGGTTTTTGGTTTTCTCTGTGGTGACATTTTTCTTCAATAGCTACTGTAACCTAAATTGCTTATCATTAAAAATGTAAATAGTGTGTATGTAGGTTAGTGTTTCTAGCTTCTTTATTAAAGAAGACCAGGTAAGGTATCCTAGTCTTCTGCGTTTTTGATTACAGTATACCTATCATTTTCTAACTGTACATCTAAAGAAAGCAAGCCACCGTTATACTTTCTCAGGCCCATTTAGGGTGTAGGAAAATGTTACTTTTTTCATTCATACCATTTAAAAAGAGTTGGTTCATTTTTTATAATCTTGTAGTTTATATCCACCGTAATCTCCCTTTTTCATAGACTATCTGTGATGATTTAAAAGATTTTGTGGCCGGGCGCGGTGGCTCATGCCTGTAATCCTAGTGCTCTGGGAGGCCGAGGCTGGCGGATTGCTGTAGTTCAGGAGTTCGAAACCAGCCTGAGCAAGAGCGAGACCCCATCTCTACTATAAAAATAGAAAGAAATTAATTGGTCAACTAATATATATAGAGGAAAAAATTAGCCGGGCATGGTGGCACATGCCTATAGTCCCAGTTTCTCGGGAGGCTGAGGCAGGAGGATTGCTTGAGCCCAGAGATTGAGGTTGCTGTGAGGTAGGCTAACGCCAGGGCACTCACTCTAGCCTGGGCAACAAAGCGAGAGTCTGTCTCAAAAAAAATAAAAATAAATAAATAAAAGATTTTGCATTAGGTGGTAGATTTTCACTTTATATGTTCTCTCTGAAGAGTTTTTGGAATGGAGGGCTGGCTAATGGCTAGTTCATCCAGTGTCTGGCTCATAGTAGGCTGTTCAGATTGTTGATGAATGAGTGACTAGGGCTTTGAGATCCATTCTGATAACTCCATGTGTTAGCAGAATTAATGTGTATTTATGTCCAGAGTTTGTTCTTTTTTTTTTTTTTTTGCCTGTCTTAAACCTGTGACATTTGTCAGAGTAAAACTGTTGGCTCTTGGCATGCTTGTCTTAGCCTCAGTTTTTAATGTACTAGCCCTGGTATTAAATATGGAAAAGGTATAGACACTGTGCAACTGACCATTTTAGATACTTTAGCCTCCAGGTTCTGAGTTTCAGCAGCAAGCAAAATAGCTTGAGTTTTTCTGTTTTAACAGAATCTTGAGGCTGGGTATGGTGGCTCATGCCTGTAATCCTAGCACTCTGGGAGGCCAAGGTGGGCAGATTGCTCAAGGTCAGGAGTTCGAAACCAACCTGTGCAAGAGCGAGACGCCATCTCTACTAAAAATAGAAAGAAATTAATTGGCCAACTAAAAATATATATAGAAAAAATTAGCCGGGCATGGTGGCATGTGCCTATAGTCCCAGCTATGGGAGGCTGAGGCAGAAGGATCTCTTGAGCCCAGGAGTTTGAGGTTGCTGTGAGGTAGGCTGACGCCACAGTACTCTATCCTGGGCAATAGGATAGAGTGAGACTGTTTCAAAAAATATATATCTTGAAAAATATTTAGTGTCCTTTGTATATAGTTGAACAATAAGGATTTCCCAATAATGACATCTGTTGAAAACTTGAATAGCTTTTCCAAGGCTTATTGGAGAAGTTACTCAAATATGAACAAAATTCAGATGCTGTCTGTCAGTATTTGAACTGAGTAACTTGTGTTAAATCTTTCCTGCCTTAAGCTTTTGTAATTTGATGACCAGAAGGGGGCGACCTAATTTGTTATTGAAATTGTGCCTTTAAAATAATAGCTAACACCTTAAAGGCTTAACAGAACTGTGTGATATTTTGAGAAGCTGGTGTCAGTAATTGGGTTTTGTTTTGTTATCTGAATGCTTTGGTCTCCACTTTTAATTCCAATTTTTTTGTTATTGTTTTTTTGAGACAGGGTCTTGCTGTGTCACCTGGGCTAGAGTGCAGTGGCATGACCATAGCTCACTGCAACCTCAAACTCCTGAGTTCAAGTGATCCTCCTGCCTCAGCCTCCCAAAGTGCTAGTATTATAGGAAATGAGCCACTGTGCCTGGCCTTTTTTTTAATTTAATTTTTAACTGACAAATGATAATTACATGTATTTATGGGGTTCACTGTGGTGTTTTGGTGTGTTTCTAGTGTAGTCGTAATTCTGGTCGAGTTTTATAATCATTTTAATTCATCTTAAATTAACCTTTGAAAGATCTGCTTGAGGTTTGTGTCCTCTAACATTTGCAAGCCCATGTGGCCTCTCAATCCAAAGTTCTGTGTATAGTTTCCTCCATGTCAGCATACTCAAAGGAGGTTAGCCAAGTTTTAGAACACATCTTAGATAAAACTCAAAATGTATTCACACCACCAGTATTCTAACCTTAGATCCTCTGGGATTCAAGGGTTGGTGTTCCTTTAAAATTGAAACTCCTGCTCTGTGTGTGTGTGGCATAAGTTCTTGTTTTCTGCTCAGTCAAGTTTTCCATCTGGAAAGCATTTGCTTCACAAACAGCCACAGCTAACAAACAGACCAAAAGTGGTTTCGAAACATGAATATTCTACACATGCCTTCACCTGCCTTGTGAAGACTGGTATGTAGTTGCTTCTTCTTTTTTTTTTTTTTTTTTTGAGACAGAGTCTCACTCTGTTGCTCGGGCTAGAGTGCCGTGGCATCAGCCTAGCTCACAGCGACCTCAAACTCCTGGGCTCAAGTGATCCTCCTGCCTCAGCCTCCCCAGTAGCTGGGACTACAGGCATGCGCCACCACACCCGGCTAATTTTTTTTATATATGTTTTTGGTTGTCCAATTAATTTCTTTCTATTTTTAGTAGAGACAGGGTCTTGCTCTTGCACAGGCTGGTTTCGAACTCCTGACTTTTAGTGATCCGCCCACCTCGGCCTCTCGGAGTGCTAGGATTACAGGTGTGAGCCACCACACCAGGCCGATACTTCTTCCTTATGTTCTGTTCAGGGCTTATTGATCAGATTCATCTTGCTGATCAGTTCCTAAGAAATCTGACAGCTTTCTGTCCCTGATTGTCTGAGTCTGAAACATCCATCCTTATTGCTTACATAGGGTTCAACAACTTGCACAACACCCAGACCTACCTGTAATTGAGTGTGCAAGTAAAACTAGAAACAAAATACCTTGGGAACCCCAAAGAGAAGAGAAATAATAGGCTAGGTTGGGTAGGCTTCATGGGGGAAGTAGCATTTAAACTGGATCTTGAAGAATGGGTAGGATTTTGACTGTTGGTCTTGGACAGAAACACATCTTAATAGATGAACAAAGCCATGCATGGATGAAACATGCAGGGTATGTTCAGGTTATGGTGAGGGTATAGTCTTTTGTTTTAACAGGAGTGTAGGTTTTGTGAGAGAAGTGGGAATATAGTTAGTCTGGAGTGGTTGGAACCAAAGGGTGTTAGGTGTCACACTGAGGAGTTTGTCTTTGTTTTAAATGGGAGGAGACCTTGTAGAAAAGGTTTTAACCTACCACTTTCCTGTTCAGCCTACTCTAGCCTAAACTGGTTTGTACATGTCACATTGCTTTTGT